AAATTTTCACTCTTTTTAGGGGGGGAAGTGTGTCTGATACTCTGAAAAATACGGTAATGTCCTTGAATTATTAGTTTTGTGTAGCAGTTCATCAGAGGCCTTTAAAATGGATACTAACAGGGTTGAACATTCAATTCTGTGTCCTACCTGCATATATTCAGGTGGAAACCTGAAGTGGATGTGTATTCTTATTTGTCTGAGAGTTTTTCTTGCAGACTAGGACTCTAATGCAGAAAGTTTTAGAATTGCTCCTAATGGAAGAGAATAATGTGACACACACACAAAATGAAAGTAGGAGAAATCTCTTCTTTATAGTTTCCTCCTTTGGGCAAATTTATCAGTGCTTCAGATTCCATATCTACTCACAGGACTGCTTCCTTAGACTGATATGTACCATTGAAAAAAATAATACCAACGAACAGGACCAGGTAGCTCTTGATTTACAACAATTCATTTAGTGACCGTTCAAAGTTACTTATGGCCACTTTTCACACTTACGCCCATTGCAGTATCCCCATGGTCACATGATCAAAATTCATCCACTTGGCAATGGATTCATATTTATGATGGTCAGAGGGTTCAGGAATCCTGTGATCAACTTTTGCGACCTTCTGACAAGCAAAGTCAATGGGGAAGCCAGTTTCACTTAACAGCCATGTTACTGTTCTGTCCCAGCTACAGACCCCAAAGAACGTAGCACACACAAAGTCCGTTCAAACCTTAATTTACTGAATAGACCAGTCTTTTACAACAATGGCTGTTAATTAATTGCATTAACAGCCACCAAGAATTCAAAGAATAATAACTGAAAACTTACTATGGTTGGCAGAATGCCCAGAAGCAATTTGCAGGAAGCTGATAAGATAAGTAAGACAAGACACGAAGGTATGTGAACTAAGTTGTTCCCTGCAAATTGCTTCAGTCGGCATTCCTCTTAAATAGGCTAAGGGAGTGGTCAATTAGCCCCAAGCCTTACTCTTGAGGAGACCTCCTCCTGAGGAGCCACTCCTGCCTTTTGGCAGTTCTGCAGGCCCGTGCATTGAGAAGAGGCTCCTCCTCTTCATCCTTTTCACTTATGGGAGGTTCTGGAGGTTCTGAAGGCCCTGGCTTCTGGCACCACATCTTCTCCAGCCTCCTCATTGTCCAACTCGAGTGCCAGCTGCACAGGCTGCTGGCGCAGCACCACGCCAGCCTCCTCGCTGTCTGAATCAGCTACTAGCTGCACAGACCACGTACGGGCCACAACAGTTACTAACTTAATGGCAAGAAGGGTTGTAAAATGTGGCAAAATTCACTTAACAACAGAAATTTTGGGCTCAATTGTGGTGGAGGAATACCTATATAGTCATTCAGAAGTCATATGTTCATTGGGACAAGACTGTATATTTATTGACTTCATATATAATATATACAATTTAAGAAATATATTTAAGTATTCAAGAGAAAGGTAAGCATATTATGGTACTACCGTATCTCCAGTTCATCATAAAAGTGATGAAGAGGAGAAAAATGGCTGCAGATTAGGGGTGTTAAACTGGCGGCCCGCAGGACGAATGCGCCACGCACAGGCCACGCTCACCCCAGCTCCGCTAAGGGGGGGGAAATCACAAAATATCACGTGATGGCAACTTGGCACCACAAGTTTGACACTCGTGCTGTAGATCTATTTAAAAACTCTATTCAACTTTTCAGAAACCAAAAATGGCCTTCAATTTTTAATTTTGCCTACTATGATAGCCTCATGATATCATCTACTGAACCATTAGAGGTTTTTTAAAAGATGTTTACAGTTAGAATACTCTTCTCAGTCCAAAAATGATTAACTTTTTCCGTTCTTGAGGAATTTAACTCACAGTTCTTGGAAGTTCTGTGGTTATTAAGTGATGATAGAAAACTTAATAACTGATGGTTATTAAGCCTTGATAAAAAAGAACACTTGTAGCTCAGGATTGAACTGTGGGATCCTTGGTGCTCTCTAAACTTTCTTGCAGACATTTCATTACCGTTTTAGCACTGATGATGTTAATTAGTTAGGTAATAAAATATCTGTAAGAAAAACACAAAGCTCAGAGAGCACCGGCTATTAAGTTTTTTGAAAAAAGATAGCTCCATGACATTATCCCCAAAGGGGGTTAGTAAATTGAAAATCATTGTATTGCACACAATTTCTCTGACAGAATGTCAGTCCAGCATGATCCAATTCTCAGCTCCACCCTTTGTTTTCTATTCCTCTTCAATTTTTTTATTTGAGAACTTCATTTATGGATAAAAAAAGCCTAACATTGACTTTCGTTTCTTCTTCTTCTCCTGCCGATTCACCTCATATAAAGAAGGTAGGGAACAGCTTTTAGTTTTTATTCAAGAGCTTTTTTAAAAAAAATGAGAATGTGATTGAAGAAATATCTGGAGAAATTACAGGTTTTCCCTTTTACCAGTCTACTCCTTTCAATTAAATTCACAGCAAATTATGGAGATTGACACCGGATGGTGAAAGGAGCAATCAGATCTATTGGATTGATTCTGTATGTCTACCTAAAAAAGTAATAGTTCAAATGTAATTTGCTTTTTGATTAAAAAGTTTTTAAAAATCATAAAAAAGAGGATAAGATAAAAATACTCTTTTTTTAAAAAAAATCTTTAGCTCTGATATTAGGTTTTCAGAAGTTAGACATTTTATCTTCCTGGAGTCTTAATATCAAATTAAACTATCCAGATTTTAGTTTTATTTTATTTTTTTACAATAAGTTTTCAGAAGTAGGTAGAAATTCAAAATATATAAGATAGTAATGGTGATCCTATGTTATTTAATAATGGGTTTTGTTTTTAAAGGCAAACATGCATCAAAGACACAATTTATAATTAACTCGGCATTTGCAGGAGAATAGGGTGGACATAGCAGTCTTTATTAAAAAATTTAGTAGGCAATTCTTTCTTAATAGACACTTAGTAATCAAATGGTTATAATCAAGAAAGTGGTAAAGGCTGTGCTTAATGGGATCATCATAATAAAATAACTGATTTAGCATTGATGGAAACAAAGAATCCTGGAATTCATAGACAAATCCTTCCATGATTATCAATGCTTTCACTTCCAGACTTTGATGAGTGAATATTGGATATGTATTGGGGAGTGGCTTGGTGGCTTAGAGGTGGAGCTCTTTTCTCACAATCAGGAGTTCTGTGAGTTTGATCCTCGGTAACAACAGATATTTCTCTCTCAGGGCGGAAAGAGAAAATATCTACTGTGAACTCCACATAGGCATAAGGAAGGGCATCCAGCCAGTAAACGCTCAGCTCCATCCTGATGTAAGAGATTACAGGGTCGTTAAAAAGAGGGGAAAAATTGATATGTATTGGAAATTAAATTCAAAATACTGGGGTTTGCCCCCTATATTTATCATCATGATAAAATTAAAAAGCTGCAGTCAGGATAAGTGTTTCTTTGTTTCACATGCACAACCAGGCACATATCCTACAGGCAATTGCTGTCTGTTTCACACAAGGAAATAGAACATTTTGGTGGAAGCCATATCTGATTGATGTCATTTTATTTATTTAGGAGTCCTCTTGCCTTACTTCCCATTCTCTGACCATTTTCTTTAGCACTGTCTTGTATTAAATGGGAAAGAAGCTGACCATGCTAGATACAATTTCAAAATAAGTGAGAAGAAACTCTAAAGTATTTTGGTGGGTGTTTTATGCAGTTTACTGTCCATATTTGTTCTGTGTCTAGGTTTATAACCAGCAAAGTAGGTGATTAATGGATTCAGATACAACTGAGGTGGAAAGGAAAGGAAACTGAAAAAAAAAGTTTTTGTAGTATCGTGTCTTTTTTGTTCACAGATTCGTGTCCATCATGCTGACACTTTCCTGACTTTCAGAATGACTTTTATATTAATTTCTGTAAATGTAATATTTTTTTTCCTAAGATAAAACATACTGTATATTGCAACTGCAGAATGAGTGAATGAAATGTATTCCTTCATCATTCTGACACATCCATCTATTCTATTGGTATTTCTGCTGTGTTCTCAAAACCAAGGCTATCTGAATAACCTATTTTTCTGTCTCTATATTTATCAACCAAATTATTCATGTTCACTGAATGAACAACCCACGATCACAGGTGACAGGTGGGTGGGTGGGAGGGAGGAAGGAAGGAAGGTAAGAAGGAAGGAAGGAAGGAAGGAAGGAAGGAAGGAAGGAAGGAAGGAAGGAAGGAAGGAAGGATGTTTTTCTTTTATCAATGCAAATATATGTATTTATCTCCAGATATAAAAAATTTTTAAAGGTATTATTTGAATGACTGCATTGTACTATATAATAATTGGTTGCACTTTTCAGTTGATTTTATTTTATCCATTAACTTAACCACACACACAAAAAAAATGTCTGAGTATAAATTTAGAAATATTTAGAAATAGAATAACAGAGTTTGAAGGGACCTTGGAGGTCTTCTAGTCCAACCCCGTGCCTTAGCTCCCTTATGAATTATTTATTAAATTAATACCTCCCTCTTTCTCTTTTCTGCTGCCTCCAATGTCTGTATGTGCATTATTGCATTTAGAAACTCTACTTGTGTCTTGATATACTAAAGAACAATCAGATGGTGTGTTGATATATAGATGTGTTGATACCAGATCACTTTCTGAAAAATATCTACATTTCCAGAGAGTTAATTAAAATCAATAGCAAAAAAAAAACTTGCAAAGTAATAGAAATACTTCTGGACTATTGCTCTTTATATTAGATATTGAACCAGGTTTCCTGATAAATAGCAGAAATCTATTTAAGAGGATCCTCTTACTAAGTATCATGGAATGGTGTCCTTTGATGGGTTTCATCTATAGATGTTAATTGTGGACTCCTACCCAGAACTCCAAGATTCTTTTCCTAGACTGATATCAATGATGTTGTTTTATATGAACATGTTCCTTAAGAATAAAGGGATTTTCTTCTGCTATTAAAATTCTTATCATTCTACCCTTCTTGCTCCACAGGAGGAGAAGTTCCCTATACCACACTGGCAACGCGAATGATGATGGGTGCCTGGTGGCTGTTTGCCTTGATCGTCATCTCATCCTACACTGCAAATCTAGCGGCTTTCCTCACCATCACTCGCATTGAGAACTCCATCCAGTAAGTTTGCACAAGCTTGGGAGTAAGAGTCAACCAGGAATTGGAAAACATCTTTGGCCAAAATCCAAGCCTACCCAACCAGAAGGCTAGAGTGTAGAAGTAGGAGATGACCAGGCTGAGCCCAAGGGATGGTTCAAGCATGTCATCATCCTTGGTCCCTTCATGCCCACATGAGATCTAAGTCCAACCCACCTTGAATTCCGTTGACTCTTATACCGCCAATTTGCTTTGACCATTAGTATTTCAGGTTCTTATAGAGAGTGTTAGCATGCAATAAACCTGTTAGTTATTTGAACTGCCTTACATTAACAGTAATACAGTAATTAGGGGGACGCACTGGCTCAGTGGCTAAGATGCTGAGCTTGTCGATCAGAAAGCGGTGGTTCGAATCCCTAGTGCTGCGTAACGGAGTGATCTCCCGTTACTTGTCCCAGCTTCTGCCAACCTAGCAGTTCGAAAGCACGTAAAAAATGCAAGTAGAAAAGTAGGAACCACTTTGTGGGAAGGTAACAGTGTTCCGTGCGCCTTCAGTGTTTAGTCATGCTGGCCACATGACCACGGAATTGTGCTGGCTCTTCGGCTTAGAAACAGAGATGAGCACTACCCCCTAGAGTCGGGAATGACTAGCATGTATGTGCAAGGGGAACCTTTACTTTTACCTTTTACAGTAACATTCTATCTCCCTTGCCTTTTGCTCCCATCCCTATAATTTTTAAAATAAGACTAATCATAGTGAAACACACACACACACACACACACACACACACACACACACAAATAAGTCTGACCAGTAAGTATGGCTGATGGCTGCCTGCACCCATCATTTCATGAGCCTTGGTAGCACAGCAGACTAAAGCACTGGTAAGTAACACCAGCTGCCTGCAATTATTGCAAGTTCAAATCTCACCAGGCTCAAGGTTGACTCAGCCTTCCATCCTTTCGAGGTAGGTAAAATGAGGACCCAGTTTGTGGGGGCAATAAGCTGACTTTGTATAAAAAAGAACACCGCTTGGAGGGGGGGTGAAAGCCCTACTAAGCAGGTATATACAAAAGTATGAAGGCTATTGCTTAACACATTGTAAGCCACCCTGAGTCTCTGGAAAAGGGCGGCATATAAATCAAACCAATAAATAAATAAATAAATAAATAAATAAATAAATAAATAAATAAATATTGAAAATCGAACCAATAAAGAACAGAATAACAGAGCTGGAGGTCTTCTAGTCCAACCCCTTGCTCAGACAGGAAACCCTGTACCATTTCAGACAAATGGTTGCCCAATTTTCTTCTTAAAGATCTCCTGTGCTGGAGATCCCACAACTTCTGGACGCAAGTCGTTTCACTGATTCATAGTTCTAACTGTCAGAAAAATCCAATAGTTCCATAATTAATCTGGTGTAACCCTAGAATATATTCTCAGATACAGCATTTCGACAAAGGTTCTAAATAGCGCCTTGAGACATGATTAGATTATGAGATAGATTAACAGTGATTACAGTAGTAATGTTGGTGACAACACTAGAATCCTTGTTGGGGTTTTTTTGCTTTGTTTCTTTTACTTTTTTTCTTCCCTGTTTTAATAACAGAGGAAAAGGAAAACAAAGACTTTCAGAATGGCTGGTGGTCTCATCTTATTTGCTGGGAGGTGAAAGGTTTTTTGACTCTCACTGTTTTACTACTTTTGGCCACTGTTTTACTGTCTGTGTGGGAGAGAACTGTCCTCTTCTCCTAAGGGCAGCTCCATTTATTCTGAAGCCACTGCCATAGGATAGTCAAGGTCTCTGCCAGGGGGCAGGAGAGGAATTACCTGTTCCCTAAACTTGCAGTTATTCCCTATATAGAAAGCATACCTAGGCATTTTCTCTATCGTGTCTTTTTTTTTTTTTTGTGAAAAATATGTCCTGCATCTTTATTATTGATCTTTGCAGACCTTGGCAAACCTGCAAGCGAGAGAGAATATAACAATTCAAAATGGTCTGGATCAGCATTTCTCAGCCTGGGCAACTTTAAGAGGTGTGGGTGTCAATCCTCAGACTTCCCTAGTCATTGTGGTTGGCCAGTGAATTCTGGGAGTTGAAATCCACACTTCTTAAAGTTGCTAAGATTGAGAAATACTGGTCTAGATATAACCATACTCTCTCTCTCCCTATAAAATTAAAATTCCACTCCCTTCAACTCAGGGGTGAATCTACTTACCTTTCCTACCGGTTCGGAAGTGCATGCGCCACACATGTGTGCTCACTCCATGTGCATGCATCACATGAGCGCATGGACCCTCTGTGCATGCGCAAACCCTTCTGCACATGTACAGAGGGTAAAAAACAGGTTACTTCCTGGTTAAAACCAGGAAATAACGACAACCTGGCAGGTGGGCGGAGCCTCGCACTGCCGTCACTACCAGTTCTCTGAATCACCCACCACCATCACTACCGGTTTGGCTGAACTGGTCCAAACCTGTAGCATTTCACCCCAGCTTCAACTCCCTAAACAAGGAGCACAGTGGCTCTTATGGTTAGGATGCTTATTGGAAGTTAGCAAGACCATATTCGAGACTCAAGTGCTGCTGTGGGTTGGGGTGAGCCCGCGTCCTTTGCTCCAGCTCCTGCCAACAACATAAAAGGAGGCTCCAACTGAATATCCCCCAGACAATGGTCATGTCACCGACTAATCTTTTCAACTTGGAAGCGCCTGGATACTTCTAAATTGACTGCAAAACTCCCTAAATAAATGCATTCTGTTTTCTTATGCCACAGTTCTCATTAGACTAAATATCTCTGGAAAGCCTTTGAACATTTAGGCAATGGCTATTTATTGTGTGATCTTTGGCTCTGACTACTGAAACTGAATTCCAATAAATTTATTATTTTCTCCAAAAGGAAAATGAACTGTTCTTTCTACTGTTAATTGATTCATCCAAATCTCTAAGCCACCCAGCAAGCGTTCAAATTTTTAAGCCACCTAGACAAAGCGGAAAGTAATTCTTTTTGTGTCCTGTCTGTTCAGTCTGTATTAGAATTAATTCTCATAACCATATAACTATAGGAAAAAAAGAAAAGGAGAATAAAATTGCTTAGGCAAAGCTTTATAGGAATAAATGAATGCGTCATAAATAAATGTGCTTTAGAATAAGCAATTAGATGTTCATCCTCATTATTGGGTGACTAATTGTCTCTGTGCAGACAGTTTCCATGTTATAAGACAAACTTGTTCATTCTGCAGGCATGTTGTTGTTTTCTATATGCCATTGTAATACATAAACTTTAATGCACTCTTTTTGGGGTGAATTGTTTTAATCTATGTGAAGCAGTGCCTTTGCAATCTGATGAGAGCTATATTGTGCAATTACAAATTGTCAGGAGCTAAATTAGTTCGTATGTTTTTGTTCTTGTTTTGTTGTGCTCTTATTAAAATGAAATGCTCCTGAGTTTCTAATATCCAGCATCCCAATCTTACGGAGCCATTTCAATTGCAAGCCATGGATCACAGTTGCTTAAGCATCATCCCTAGAATATGAAATAAGCAAATGGAAATAAATCAAATGGAGCTTACATTAAGATTCCAACAGTTCCTTAAGACATGTGATACCACAGATTTTAGCCATCTTGATCGTTATTTCCTTTACACACACATACTTCCATGGAAGAAAGGGACAAAGACTAACCGATCAGGATCACAGGAACTTGGATTAATCTCTGTGGTCCTTTTTGCACAGCACATAAAAATATTTATCTTCCTTGTCTCATCGCAAGCTGGCATTCTGTCTCTCATAACCTTAGAAGTTAGATCCAAAACACAAATCATTAAGTAATGAGGCTAAAGTAATATTTGCTCTTTTGGGGGAAAGTTTTCTCCAAACTATCCCGAAGAGGATAGAGAAGAAAAAGAAAGGGAAAGAGGGGAGAGGAGAGGAGAGGAGAAGGGAGAGGAGAGGAGAGGAGAGGAGAGGAGAGGAGAGGAGAGGAGAGGAGAGAGGGGTACTGTGTGCTACCAAGTTAAGGTTGAGTCTTGGCAACCACATAGATAAGGTTTTTCTGTGATGATCTATCTGTAACCTGGTCTCTCAGGTCTTGAATAGTGTACCCAGCTTCTTGGATGAGAAGCGAAACATCTTCAAAGAAAAACAAAGTCCAGTTGCTTCTTTAAAAAGCACCTTAAGGACAACCATGACCTGGATGACTGAGAATCTCCATAGACTACTGGAAAGAACTAACATCTCAGTCAGGCGACAGCTGTAACCAGGTGATTGTATCTCTTTCTGAACTGAAATAACAGAATAACAGAGTTGGAAGGGACTTCGAAGGCCTTCTAGTCCAACCCCCGGCTCAGGCAGGAAACCCTATATCATTTCAGACAAATGGTTGTCCAATCTCTTCTTAAAATCTTCCAGTGTTGGAGCATCCACGACTTCTGGACGCAAGTTGTTCCATTGATTAATTGTTCTCACTGTCAGGAAATTGTGAGAAATGCCTTCTCACAATCACTTGTACCATGACCATCTTTCTTTTGGACAATTACAAGGCATTCTACATGGTGCTATCTTTGAAGATCACTAGAAATCTACGAGTAATCCAGAAGGCAGGAACTAGTTATGAACGCTTCTTATTTTGTCCATGTAACTCCACTGGTCTGTGGGCTGAACTGGTTACCATTAGGCTTCCAGATAGAGTTAGTGGTTTTAACAGTTACCTACTGTATATAAAGGGATGCAGTGGCTCAGTGGCTAAGACACTGAGTTTGTCGACCGAAAGGTCAGCAGTGCAGCGGTTCGAATCCCTAGTGCCGCGTAATGGGGTGAGCTCCCGTTACTTGTCCCAGCTTCTGCCAACCTAGCAGTTCAAAAACGTATAAAAAATGCAAGTAGAAAAATATGAACCACCTTTGGTGGGAAGGTAACAGCATTCCGTGTGCCTTTGGCGTTTAGTCATGCCGGCCACATGACCACGGAGACGTCTTCGGACAGCACTGGCTCTTTGGCTTTGAAACAGAGATGAGCACCGCCC